ACGCTTGATAGCGAGGTATTCGTCCTTCCGGTTCATCTTTGGATTTTTGAAATTTATCCAAAACGCCTCAAGAGTTTTGCGCGTTGATGTTTTTCATTCCTGCGCTAGGTTCCGCACATTCACTTCAAAATCATCGCCGTTGTGCATTTGTGCCCTATGCGTACCTAGAGGGGTGTTTAAACGGATTTTAGCTTTCCCATCTAGATGTTCTTTTATGCGGAGACAAAGTGGTCTACCCGTTTCCCCGATATATTCCTCGCCGCATGCATTACACGAGGTCAAATATATTATACCTAAACTCATGCAATCCCCGTCTCTCCCGTTAGGACAGATCATACAGTTTTCTGCACAAACGATCATAGAGACGCTTTCGAACTAACTGACAGCGTAGGGTATTGGGTGGTATCGCAAGCCAAGTAGTAAAAACATTCTAGTTCACTGCCTCTCCTCTCATCCTTCACTCATGAAAAAATCACTTATCAGAAATATGTATCGTACGGCTATAAATGTGTGTACAGGAGAAGAGGAAAGGAAGGAATCGCGAAACCTGGCACGAAAAATTGCCATTTCCAATGGCTACGAAGTAGAAGCCACTCGGGTTAGAGGAAAACGTTGGGTAATTTCCCAAAATAATATTTCAGACGAAAGTAGGATCCCCTTTAAGCTGCCCTTCATATCAAATGAAGTAAGTCACGCCATTAAAAAGTGCTTAAGAAAAAGTGGTCTTGAAAATTACGTAACGATTATTGACATCCCACCCAATACCCTACACCGCCAGTTAGTTCGAAACCGTCTCTATGATCGTTTGTGCAGAAAACTGTGTGATCTGTCCTAACGGGAGAGACGGGGATTGCATGAGTTTAGGTATAATATACTTGATCTCATGTAATGCATGCGGCGAGGAATATATCGGGGAAACGGGTAGACCACTTTGTGTCCGCATAAAAGANTATAAATGTGTGTACAGGAGAAGAGGAAAGGAAGGAATCGCGAAACCTGGCACGAAAAATTGCCATTTCCAATGGCTACGAAGTAGAAGCCACTCGGGTTAGAGGAAAACGTTGGGTAATTTCCCAAAATAATATTTCAGACGAAAGTAGGATCCCCTTTAAGCTGCCCTTCATATCAAATGAAGTAAGTCACGCCATTAAAAAGTGCTTAAGAAAAAGTGGTCTTGAAAATTACGTAACGATTATTGACATCCCACCCAATACCCTACACCGCCAGTTAGTTCGAAACCGTCTCTATGATCGTTTGTGCAGAAAACTGTGTGATCTGTCCTAACGGGAGAGACGGGGATTGCATGAGTTTAGGTATAATATACTTGATCTCATGTAATGCATGCGGCGAGGAATATATCGGGGAAACGGGTAGACCACTTTGTGTCCGCATAAAAGAACATCTAGATGGGAAAGCTAAAATCCGTTTAAACACCCCTCTAGGTACGCATAGGGCACAAAAGCACAACGGCGATGATTTTGAAGTGGGTCTGAAAAGGCAGAAAGGTCAAAACGTTGGTGGTATAAAATTTTTATGTCGAACTCGTGTTACCTCAATCATGTAAAAGAAATATTTACGGTGAAATTTTAGTAAGATTATCAGCGAGTGAATTTTCTTGAAACAAAGTATTTTGTAAACCATTAATTGAGGAGAATAACTTTTCTGCTCTCACCGCTTACTATTTTCTTCTGTTTCCCATTAGCTATAGAATGAGCATACATAGTGTGGTTATGAAAGAAAAAAATCATTGAGACCAACTAAATCGAATATGGACACTATATTGTCCATACACTCGCTTAACCTAAAAGGAATGGGTTAATGCAGCAGTACCTAGGATAGCCGTGAGTGTATTGTACTGGTTATGTCTACACACTGGATTGATTACTGGTTCGATCCCCTGATCCAGACTCACCTTTCTAGCTCCTTGTGGTCGCAAAATTGACACTAAAATTGTTTAGAAGTTTAGAAACGCGCAACTAATAAATTGAGAGATCACCAAAAGTCGCTGTATTGGCTAAACACCGCCACCCAATCATCTCCAAGATCCCTAGAGAAGTCGAATGCAGCAGAGCATTCTTCAGGGATTGGTAAACTCTGAACTTTTTATTCTTCTAAATTGTGTCCAGGAAGACTTCTTCCCTATTTCAACGGAACTTTCTGAGGTATACCTGATGGGATATTCGATATGCTCAGGAACTTCCGTGAAAACAGCGTGAATGTCAACATTTATAAACGAAGTTCTGGCGCCTATGTATAAAAATCATGTGTCCATGATAAGAGACAATCTCAGCTTGTCCTTGGATAAACGATTATATTATGCATATATCTTGTATTCTGTGGCGCGCGTAGCGCAGTGGTCGGAGGTGCCGTGCAACACACATTGGATCGACATCTGCGCCCCGGGCCTACTAAGCCTTTCATCCCTCCGGTGTCGCCAAATTGGTACCAGACTTGTCTAGGAGGAAAGCAGCAATGGCTCGATACATCGTAGGGCCACGGCGAGTAAAGGCTAGATATTTATTCAATCACCTCCAACGATGCTTAATGAGGTCGAGTGCATGACGCATCTCTCGGAGATTGATCAACGGCGAAAGCTTTGTCCTTTTCTTTTCCTTTATTTTGTATTCTTTTCTTTTCCTTTATTTTGTATTCTATTCAAATTACATACATGGGTGCACTCCACATATTCTTTACATAGCTAACTAATACTAACGTTGATGAGGGATACTCCACCCAGATAAGATTTCCTCTGCATCTAGCGATCTACCTGAAGCACCTTCTGAAGCTATTTCATTTCTCGGACGGGCACCCACGTCAACGCGTCCCAACACACACCGTGTCTACCACACCCCTACCAGCAAAAATCGGCGAATACTCATACATTGCTTCCGTGCACGGAAATCTTTGGTAAAAGGCGAAAGATTTCCTCGATTAAATGCACTGAAGCCAGAGACGGCAGCGTCACCGAGGAGCACGGCACTGTGACGTCAATATCGTATATAACGCTGGTTTGCTTTCGTGTGGACAGTCTCTAGTCTATGAGAGTGTCCGCTTTTAGCAAATCGCCAAGTCGATTGAATGTCTTGTTTTTTTTCACTCTTCTTTCCATCCCATAGCATTTCCTAATGAAAGACACCTACCATTTTCTCTTCTAGGAAGGTATTTTTGTGATAAGGTGAGTGGACATCTGCCGTAAGTTAAAGTTACTTATAAAGGCTCTTTTCTTTTGTTCTTGATGTTACCGAAGTCTATTGAAACTACAGTTCTCTTCTCTAACACTACTTGATTCTGTAAAAGTCTATGTAGTGGTCAGTTTGTTGCAATTAATTCTCATCATACCTCTTGTGGCATCACCTGTATCAACTGCTGTCCCGTTGATCGTCGAGTGGCTCGAGCGGGCGCCAGTAAATCTTCTATTTTTCCCTGTGCAAGAGTAGCCCATTGAGTTCTGCTCTCTCTAGAGACTCCTTGAGCATCATATCTTTTTTCTAGGCTTTTCGTGAAGAGTTCTGACCATTACATCGGTGGTATTGCTGCAGTACGTTTGATATCCCGAGGGATCCAGTCCCTAACGGCTGTTGTCCATCGGTTATCGTGTGCACGTGAATAATCGTTAGGGTGTAAAATACGTTTTACGCTGAATAGTATTGTTTTTCTTATTCTCCTTATTAAAATAGAGTTGTTCTCTCATGGTCTTTTCTTCTGCTCCTTAGGGCTTACAAGTATTGGCTCGCAGGATTTGAGTTGTGGTGATCACATGTGTGATTTAGAGTCCTTTCTTTCCTTTCGTTATTGTCTTTACTTTAAGCTTTAGCTTCCGAGCCAATGAATGGTTCACAGGTGAACTTAGAGAACAGCACGAAGCCAAAATCTGAAAATCTGGACGAGGATTGTGAAGTAAGTAATTTCTACGCTAGTGAAGCGTTTTCCATTAAATTGTAGTCTGGGTCATCCTTCTCTTCCGGTTCCGCCTTTAGTCCAGTCATTTAGAAAGTCGTATCGCATGTCGCTTGTGTCACATTGGAATCCGATTCTCTTCCGGAGACTCCGAACATGCCCAGGACTACAAGGTTTAATATTCCAAACATTCCGGCTTTCCTTTAACATCTATATGACTGATCAATATCTATTCCTTCTTTGGTGAGTTTACATGAAGTTGATAAATAGGCTTTATTCGGCTAACGTTTCGACGTCTTCGTCTTCATCAGAGCCGATTATCCGAGTTCATGGACCACAACTCTAATTAAGACGAAGACGTCGAAACGTTAGCCGTATAAAGCCCATTTATCAACTTCATGTAGCTAAATAGTTGAAACACAGGGTTTAGCTCCATCACTTTTTAAACTGTCATTAAAGGAGTTGGATTTTCGAGCAAGGTTTTTGATCCGTAATATTGATTTTCTCTTCCAACCCTCGGCTTGGTGCATGATGATGTCATTGCTCTAACATATGTGTCATTCTCAGCTCAGAGTGTGTCTCATTTCATCCCTTATATTGCGCTTGTTTTAGAAAGAAAAAACGCTTAGTACGACGTCCTCGTGGGTACAAGATGGATGTTGATCCTCAGCCCTCAAGCTCTCAGAATAAGCCTGGTGTGTGATTTTTCAAACGCTTTGTGAACAATTGATCCATCTTATAGTTTCCGTTTCGAAAAACTGAACTCTTTCTCTTTGAGGGTTGAGCTAGTGGGTTCCAGTAATAATGTCTAAGCATGTGTCTTTGGTGACTACAGAAAAAGGCTTCCGTGATATCCTTGTAGAAGGTGTGTTGGTAAAGACCGACGCCTTTACTTTACCCGCTCGGGGGGATCGTAGATCTTGTGTGGATGTTTCAAACACTCATTGACTATTTGGTGAGAATTGTAAGGGAAATTGTCACAGTTGACCTATGCTGCGTTTGTATACCCTAACAGTATCCGACCCTTCTCGTGACTTCTAAATATAACAATATAGTTTCATAGTACGTTTTGTACGTATCATATATGAAAATTCTGTTTCCTTACCCATTTTATAGATAGCCGAATGGAATGGGACGGAGCAGAGTCGTGCATATCATCAACGAGCGAAAGTGATTGTGGAAACTGCGCTGCTGATGCTGACGATGAACAGAGTGATTGGGTCGGGTACGCTCCCTCCGTGACCGAGGGTGACTTTGTGAGATCACTACTTTCCTTTCCATGTTCATGTAGATATCTGGGATTTTTACCGTATGCAAAGTTGACTTTGCAGTTCGCAACTGTTCTTTATGCCTCTTTAAAATTAATAGGTGTTAAAGCTGCAGTTTCGGCAGTACAGCCTTCTTCAGATCCTGCAAGGGTATATCGATACGCAGTTTACGTCAAACGCTTCAATAACATGAACCGAAAGATGAAAATATATATGATCAACAGCTTCTCGAAAACCCACCGTTGTTTACGTGACTTCCACTGAAGAATAACAGCTGATCAGAATCGCATTTGGTCGATAAGTCCACTAACCCACATCGAAGTCTTCAACTATCTTCGCATCGACTTTTGATGTGGGGTGGTGCATTCCTCAACCATACGCGTCTCTGGTCAGGTGCTGTTCCTCATTAGAATGCACGTAAAAACGGTGGGTTTTCGAGAAACTGATGGTATGGTTTCCATTCAGATTTCCTTCTTCCTGTGTTTGTTATTGAAGCGTTTGGCGTAGTTAATTGCACATCAGTATACCTTTCCAGGCTCTGAAGAAAGTGATAAGTGGTGATTCAATCGCAATAATTTGAAGTGACGAGGGCAATGAAGTCACCAGTTTTTCAAAATATAGCTGAAAAATGCAAGAGCTTCACATATGGAAGGAGTTTGTTTTGTTCGGTATGAAGTCCTTCCATGTGGCAGTTACGTTAATCCTGGAGGTCCTTCCCAGTTGTTGCAAAAGTCTACATTTAATGCTTGTTTTGATTTTCTTTCTTTGTTGTTTTCTTTTTCCTACACTCATGAAATTTTTCTTCGTCGCATGTTAGGTACATGTTCAAGGACCCTCTGGAAGAGCGCCGAGCTCGACGTCTCCAAAGAAAGCAACAAATGTCGCAGATTCAACGACGTCTAGAAAGATTCGCGCTTGAAGGAGGCCGCGGCGAAATGAACATCGAATTTCGTATCAAAGATCGTCCGAACTCTGTCCAAGTAATGTGGTTTTACGTTGTTCTTAATTATGCGCCGAAGTTATTCAGTGTAGAAAGCGTGTGGTCCTTAAAACTGGTGACCAAATTTCACATACTATCTTTCCATAAATGTACCAGTATTGAAATTACCGAAGGAAGTCTATTTTTAACTTGCTAAGAGCTTTTCACTAGCACTTTTCAATCAGCTTTGTAGTCGTTAGAATTGACAAGCGAACTTTCATATAAAAAACATTTTAGAAAAAGAAAAAAAACAAAGGAAAACATACTGTTTTCTATAAACGCTGCGGTATTCAACTTCCCGAATGAATCTAGACTTGAAACGTACTGAGAGTTCTCCGCCATCCACATTTAATCTTGCAGTACAATTCGATTTATCCCATCTCAAGTTGCGCATGCCTTTCAATTATGATAATATCTCGTGTAATTTTCCGCACTTTGCCTTTTCTTCAAATCGTTCCGCCGCTGCAACTTTGGGTGTTTTCCCTTCCTTCTTTGGCGCAAAATATTTTGATCCCTTTGCGAAATTCGTCAGCACTTTTAAAGTTGGTGCATCAGAATCCCTTTTTCGACATCTGCTATTGTCAGTTTTCCATCAGAGATATGTTATGACTCATCCTGAACAAAACTGCGGTGATCAGTGGACTTGAAATAGAATCACGGCGAGCATTAGCCTATTCAGTTTTGCCCAGAAGATTGAAGAGACAACACACGACCGGCGGAATTTTCAGCTGGAAAACAGGCTTTACTTCACTTTATGGACTAAGCGAGTGTTATACTTAGAATGTGAGCAGATTTCCACAGTTGACTGCTGAAGTGCCACCTCAACCAACATCAGGGTCCACCACCGTCCTGGTATCAAACTATTCGCATGGTGGCAAACCTCTCTCTTATCCACAAGAGCGGCGACTACCTGTGGTGGTGATGACCTGGGGCAAACTTTGGCTAGGCTGACCTCGGGATTCCAGGGAACCAAAAAGGCTAAACCAACAAATCTCCCAGAAAATGGAGATTATGCTGAGGCCCGCTCAGCCAGTTAGGATGTGCCATTCAACTATTCAGGTAAGTAAGCACCACCTCACCACATCCTGTCACAGTGTTATTTCATGGTAGTGACAAAGACCTGCTTATGGTTTTTCTTTGCGGCTAATGTATTTTTCTTTCAGTTTAACCGAATGCTGTTACATTATCGTCTGGAAGTTGTTAAGCGGCAGCGTGGTGCTGTGATTATCAGGAGGAAAAGCATACCATTCAGCAAAGTTCCAGAATGTGAATAGTTTACCACATTTAAGATACTTAAGTAAGTATTTGTTAGCTCAGGCCGGTATCATGTCCGTCATTTTATTGATGTTTTCCTAATGGTCGGTGCGACCATGTGCTTAGACATTTCCCTTTTCTTGATCCGCACTAGTTTAGCGATTAACATTGAAGGTATCTTTTTCATTCTAATTGGACACTGTTGTCCATATAAGTGCTAAACATTGTTGGTGATTGTTTCCATCCTCAGTTTGCCAGGCTTATTCTTTCATGTCTTCTTAGCGCGGCCATTTTTATCATATACCTGTAATGTGGACCAGTTGAGAATGTTAATGGAGCTTAAGCTTATGGTCGTCATGTAGCTAATGAAGGTCTGTTTAGCCTACCAATTACTGTAAATACGTTTGCTTAGTTGCGAAATGCTTCATTGAATGACACCAAGTGTTTAAGAGTTGTCTGTTATTCACATTAATTTCAGTATAGGGTTGCGTTGCTCTCCACTAACCACTACGCATCCATGATCTTTCTTTATGGGTAGTACTCCAGTTGTTCAGCAGCTTGTAAAATTTTTTTGTATATTAGGCTACACTACTATCAATTGACCAAGTTGTAGATATTCTTCTTGTTGGTCTTGCAGTTCCTTCTTTTCCAGTTGCCAGTATTACTTTGAAGCTTGAAGCTGCATTCTAATAAATATGCTATGGTTAAATCCAGTTTGCTTCAGTGTCATCGTAAGGATAACATCAATGATTTGAGTTTTCCAACTTACTTCACTTCTTGTTAAGTCTGCCAAGACGCTAGCACCTCTTTGCCCAACTTGAGACAAGCAACTTTGGTTAGTTTTCATCACTATTTCCAGTCTTCATAACTCCAGAACCACGAATGGCCAAGAAAAGGACTGCAATAAAGGCGGACTATGTTCGCTTAACAGTTAAAATGTAAGTGTTCGCAAGTGTTTTATTCGTACTCTGGCACAGTCTACCCAAACCACGATTTTTATGTCATAATGCTGGAGTACACTACAGAAGGGCGGGTGTAGCGCAGTGGTCGGAGGCCATTTGCAATACACATGGGATCGGGTCCCGGCGCCTCAGGCTCACCAAGCCTTTCGCCCAGACGGGGTCGGCGAATCGGTGCGGATAGGAGCACGGGGCGTATATATCGTTAGGCCACCACGAGTCATTGTAAAGGCCAGGTATGCGTTCAGTCACCTCTAACGATGCTTAGTGAAGTTGAATGCATGGAGCATCCCTCAGGGGCAGATCAACACCGAGACCTTTATCCTGCGGCAGAACTGTACAGAGCAGCTTGCATTTGTGCGAATTCATGAATTAATTTTGTCTACTCAGTGAGCTAACGGATACAATGCCGTTCACTACGACGGATTTCCAGTTGTACGTAGCTCAAGCCATTAAGCGAGTGTTGGGTACATGTGGTCCTCAAGTACAGGTCAGTTTTCTTCGTTCTCACAATTGTAATATATTATTGTTCAATTGTCCAATCAAGATTTTCTTCGAAGAAGTGATATGTTTTACTTAAGTAGAAAATTGCAGGTTGATGACTTCGACGAGACAACCCGTAAAGGGAGTGTCATAGTGCCCGGTGAGGATGCTCAGCTTGTATGGGCTTCGTTGACTATCAGCGGACAGTATCAGAACAGAACAATCGCAACGCACTTCTTCTCAGTAAGTTTCGTGTTTAGCCCCAAGAATGCGTCCTAACACTTAATTCGTATTTCTCCAAGTATCTTTATAACTGGGGCGTGTGTAGCGCAGTGGTCGGAGGTGCCCTGTAATACACATGGAATCGATCTCCGCAACCCAAGCTCTCCAAGCCTTCCATCTTTCCGGGGTCGGCAAATTAGTACCAGACTTGTCTGGGAGGATAGCGGCTCTGGATCGATACAGCGGTAGGGCACCGCGAGTCATTGTAAAGGCCAAATATGAATTCAGTCGCCTTCAACAATGCTTAATGAAGTCAAATGCATGGCCCATCCCTCAGAGATTTATCAACGCTCGGAGCTTTATTCTTTATCCCCTATATCTATGCACCTATGTTTCAAGGGTTTTCTCTTCTTTAGTTTTCGTTTCGATGATTATCCATGTTCCTTACCTATAGTTGTTCGATTTTTGATCTGTTCGTAAGTAACCAGCCTTCTCAACCGTTTTTCATGAATGCTTATTATGGCTCGAACTGATTTTGTTGCAGTTGACGGAATTTCAAAGCGACGAGAACTTCGTACTATCTCCGCTATATTAACTTGACTCTGTATATCCACATATAACTACTTATTTGGCTAAAGGTGGCTAAACTAGTGTAGCATTCTTGAGGAGGTTACCAGTACGGAATTAGAGCGGTGTTATTTTTCTTTTGGTCTCTTTTCCTGTATAAAGTTTTGTTATTGTTAAAAAAACCGTTTGAAAAGTGCATTTGTTTTATCTCTGACTAAACATTCTAAGTGTTCGTATAGGTAGATACTCTAATGGTTAATATATTGAGTTACACTTGTAAAATAGCGAGAATTCGAGATTTCTTTCCCATGTGCATTTTCTCTTTGCATATCGGCAGTTTCGTTCTTCTCTTCGCCTTCGATGTCTTCGAAAATAGGAGAAATAAATAATTCTACGAATGACTTTCTTTTGTTCGCTGTCAAGTTTAGCGCAGTAGCTTCTCTACCACAAATATTGTACGAAGAGGAGGCTTGAGAAAGGTATTCCGAATAGGTAATACTTTATAAAAGCAGTTTTTACAAAGCAAAGGGACACTCTTTCAGCTCCAAATAGATGACAAGGTATTGAAGAGATCCATGATAGATGTAAATGTCGCATAGATGCATAGATGGCATCGATGGAATGGATCGTTGTAGAAGGCTAAACATTCATAAAGAGGGCAGAGGTTTAGCACTTCGTTTCTATAGTGTTTTTTTGTACAAACACTGTATTATCACCTTTTCCACCCCATTGATGTTGTGAAAAAGTTCCGCATGAGAGGATTTAATTCGTGATCTGGAACTTTTACAGCTAGCGTCTTCACAGTGTACACTAATTACATATGTATCACACTTACAACTTAGAATTTACCCCTCTTCCATAGACTAGGGACAATTTACTCAACAGCGTTTCTTACATCTCTGCTCAATACCGATGAAAACTTCATCGAAGCGAAGTTGAATCATGCCCGAGGGGCTCATAGGATTTTGGTTTCGGCTCGGCCATGAGCCTCGGCCGCCTTCAGATGCTCGATATACTTCTAGATTCTTGCGCAAGTCCACTCAATATTTGCAGTTGTCGATGATTAGCACTAAAATTCCGACTTTGTCGTTAAATGTGGAGTGAACTGGAAGAGGATGGTCTAACAAAAGGTTCTCAGAGGTCCCAGCAAGAAGTGAGCTACAATTACTAGTAATAGATGCGAACCAATATCAGGATCTACCACCGTCCTGGTATCAGACTAGTCCCGTGGTGGCAAATCTCCCTCTGACCCACAAAGGAGGTGACTGCCTGTGGTGGTGACGATCTGAGGCAGACTTTGGCCAGGCTGGTCTCGGGACTTCAGGGAACCCCCAATGGGTAAACAAACGAAACTCCGAAAAGTGGAGATTATGCTAGAGCCCGCACAACCACTGAGGACGGGCTATCCAATATCCAAATGAGCAAGTAATAGGTCTGGATAGTTTAGGCGTGAAGTTGTTTCTATCGATTTTTCATGAGTTGTGCAGTTATGGAACATGATTAAGACATAGTAATTTCCCATTTCCTTCCATCTTTCCTTGCTTTCAGCTCCTCCTTACATTCTTTCCCTACAGTTTCCTTTCTGTTCCAATCAATTAGCCTCCAGCATGCTAAGGACTCCTTATGAGAATAGAAATGGACTGGCTGTTATCTTTCCTATCAACTCCACTTCTCTAGTTTCTGCTTATTTCTGCCAAGTTCTTCCAATTTTTGCCGATTCCCTCACTGTAGTCAGTTCCTTAATTCACCTCTTGGAATTAGAATAGAGGGGTTTACTGCAATAGAACAAGTTGTAAGCTCGGCTAGGGCGCTGGAGTTTTTCTAAACCTCACTTCTTTTCCACTTTCACCGTGTTTCTGCCAAGTTCTTTCGGTTCTTCCCGCTTTCCTAGCAGTAGTCAGTTCCCCAATTCACCTCTTGGAGATGGAATAGAGGGTTTACTACAATACAAAGAATTGTAAGCTTTCCTACGTGTGGGACTTTTTTGAGAGAAAATTGCTAGAACTATTCATTTCTTATGGTTTTAGTGTTCGATAGTGGTCACAAACACTTCAGTTTCATAGAGTGTTCAGAAACGACGAGTCAAAGGCATTACTGGATGACATGACATCTTTATGGGTAGCACTTGTTCCAATCGGTGTAGTCCTTCTTGGTCTAGTGCTCCTGCTCGTGCTGTACTTCTCGATTCCATCTCGGAAAGGCTTTTCGCTCAAGAAGAAGCATGCTGTTGTTACAGGTGTGTTGGATTTATTCCTTTTTGCTTTTAATACTGTTGATTTTTGTTCCTAAAATTAGTTCCTGAAGTAAAATATCTTTCAAATTGGAGTTAACTTTGTGATTTTTGATATAGTCACAGTAGTAGAGCCGCAGTAATAAGACAAGAGCTCGTCTACTCCTTAGTCTTTATGAATGAGTGCCAATTCCTAGGAAATCTCTGTTTGACGAACAATTATGAAAACCACGTCACTTCATTAGAGCTAAAAATTGTAGCACCTGCAAAACTTATGTTCTATTTTCACCATCCGAGGAATCGTTCTGCTAGCACCTATAAAACACGGCTGAGAGAAAGACGAAGGTTACAGATGGCATGGTGGTGACCACAGCGGAAAGGATAATTGCAAGGTTCGATCGCCACCGCAGACACGTGCAGTCCGGAGTTTTGCAAATATCTCAGCATCATTGTAGTTGTATTTCATATCATACCCTGCCGTGAAAAAGGTATACGTAACGAGTAAAAAATCATTCCTTACTGCTTTATTACACCATTTCCTGGGCACAGAAGTGACTTAATATGTTATGATCTTGTACCGTCTCAATGTAAAGCTTGTTTGCTTTTCGTTCGTTACCGACATAACAGAATCCTCTTCCTGTTGATTCCAAATTGGTTACTGCATAGCAGATTCGGAATTTTTAAACACTAACTTATTTTTCTGTTGTTATGAAAAGTTCTTTGTACAGACTACGTTCACATTAAATATCCTATTCAATTTGAATACCACCGATTAAAATCATCCATTCTATCCGTCTTTCTTTTATTTCGAAACGATTTTCAGGGGCTTCGAAAGGCATTGGTAAGGAAATTGCCCATTCTCTGATATCGAAAGGATGCAATGTTTCCATTATCGCGAGAAATGAAGCTGACTTAAAGGCTTGTCTATCCTGTTTTTTATACGAACTAATCATGAAATGTCGGAAGAGTGTCGTCTTATACCTATTATGAGGTTGATATAGTTTTTTGACATCTTTCTTAAATATTCCAGTTAACGCATTATCCAGGAAAGTGTTGAATTTTGCTACTCAGTCCGTATTTCTTTCTAACATGCCTTTTGTTGCTTTGTAGGTGGCCTGTGAAGATCTTCAAATGGCCGCAGATCAGCGTGGTCAACAGCAGAAAGTACGATGGTATTCGCTAGATGTAACAAAGAGCTATGAAGAGGTGCTGTTAGAAATTTGTTTGTCAATCTCATCACTTTTTATTTACTGCCTATTCCTTTTTTAGCAGCAGGGTATTATGGGAAATACAACGGTAACGATGCTGAGATATTTGCAAAACTCCTGGTGTCTACGGTGGTGAATGAACACGCTATTACTCTTTCCGGGAACTAACGCGCTCTCCACCACACCATGCTCGTATTTCGTTTCGCTTTCCGCTCGTCCGTGTTTTATAGGCTCTATTAGCAATCGCCCGTCAACAACTAGGAAAGCGGTGAAACGACGGACACGCATGGTGTGGTGGTGAACACGTTAGCTATAGGAAAGGTTAATAGCGAGGTTCGATCCCCGCTGCAGCCACCTGCGGTTCGGAGTTTTGCAAATATCTCGACGTCATTATAGTTATCTTTGTTTATTAAATCCTTTGTGCATATGTTTAGTTTTGCTTAGTCAATTTTACTTTCGAAGTTTAAATTTAATCCTTTAGTTCGAATCTGTAGTTCGTCTTTCTGAAACTGAACTTGGTCCAGTTGATGTGCTGATCAACAATGTAGGGACGAGCGTTCAGGTAATCTCCTGTATGCCAACTACATTTGTCTGTAAACTACACTTGAATTTTAAACTATCGTTCAACTGGGTTACGAACCAGTCACTAATGGTCAAGATATTGATAAACTTATACAGTTTTGGGAGAAAAGTCTTTATTATTGTTAACCTTTCGACAATTTCGTTGTCTTATGAGCCATATTCGTAGATTCGAGTTTGGACAGCAGTTATAGTTAGCTCATCGTAGACGGATCTTATTGAATCATGTGGAACAGAAACTTCTAGGATGAGACGAAGTATAACTAAAATGTCGGTGATAGTAAAGATTTTTCACCAACTTAGTGTGTTTATCAATAAACTGGAGTATTGATTAGTTGTGGCGAGTGTGCTGAAAAATCAATAAATGTTCGAATCCCATAAAAAACCTACGAAAGTTTGTAGTAGTCCACAATTTTTTAAGTTTTAGGGGGCATTCGATGAACTTCCAATTTCCTCGTTTGAAGAACAGATGAGGATCAACTACCTTAGTGCTGTACGTTTTAAATTATCGTTCATTTTTTTAGCATGCAAATACGTATTTTTCAAATGCCATTTTTAAACTCGTGGGATTGAGTGAATTTTCTCATACATTACTCCTAATGTGCACATATATCACGTTTATAGGTGGTGTTACGTACTTACTTATTTGTATACTTAGTTGGCCTGAATTCACTGGTTGTGTGGACCTCAGCATAGTTTCCGTTGTTTAGGAGTTTTATTGCCTTAGCCATTGTGGTTCCCTTAAGTTCCGTGGCCAGCCTAGCCAAAGTTTGCCTTAAGTCGTCACCACCAGAGGCAGTCGCCACTCTTGTGGATTAGAGGGTGATTCACCGCCATGCAACTAGTTTGATACCAGGACAGTACTGGATTTCGGCATTGGTTAACTCTTAGCTGGACTTCCTGGTGGAAACGCTGGACTCCTTCTCAGCTTAGGAGGCCCTACTGGTGGAACGAATCTTCCCGCAGTACATCGCAGTCCGACACCCAGGAACACCTGCCGGCCACTATGAGGCGGTAAACCGTTGTGAAGGGACTGTTATATAAGTGAAAGAAATTACAATAATCAATTTTGGATTCAGTTAAGGTTGTCTCAATCTCAATGGAACATATTGTAAAGTTTCTATCAATTTGGTCATGTGGGTTTAGGTGTACGCTACTCGCTGTATAGTGGGTGGAATGAAGTTACGACGTTCAGGGCATATTTCCTTCGTGTCTTCGGCAGCAGGTCAGTGCGCAATTTGGGGATACACGGCGTACGCACCTACAAAGTTCGCTATAAGGTCCGGAACCTTTATTATCTTTACATGGTCGATTGTTTTCGTAGAAATCATTTTCTACTGAGTATTAGTGAAAGACTTAGGCGATCAAATATATCCTTCAGAGGATTTGCTGACGCTTTACAAATGGAGCTTTCTCCATACAATATTAATGTTTCTGTGCTCTATCCTCCAAATACGGATACAGAAGGATTCAAGGTGTTTGCAGTTTCTGTTATTTCTTCTCTAACTGGGATGGGTTAGCTAACAAGACCTCTCCTCTACCTAGTGCCCTGCTCTTCGTGGGTTCAGGAAAGATGCCGTTTTCTAGATTAATTTCGCATATTATATCTTTAGAGTGATGAGGAACGTCAAAGGGAAATGGAGGGGGTTTAACCGCAACTTTCTGCCACAAACGTTTTGATCTTTCGAAGCATTGTTTTCTCAACCGCAGTTATTTTTTTGATATTCGTGGAATCTAAGTATTCAAGCTGACTAAGTTTCCTTCATTACTGCTCCAACTAAAAGTATAATGCTACGCTTTTAGGTAGAAATGGCAACGATGCCTGAAGAGGTGCGTTTGATAAGTGGAACCGCTGGCTTTTTCAGTCCACAGCATGTTGCTAAGGCGCATGTACAAGACATAGAAGACGGACAATACGCAACAGCGGTAGGCCTGGATGGGTGGATGTTATGTGAGACTTTGTATTACTTATATCTACTCCTTTACAGATGCGTATGTTCGAGACAACAAAAAAAAGGAAAACCGGCATTTTTTTATTCTGTACCAGTGAACGATGTGTGTTTGTGTTTGGGTGAATGAATGTGTACCCGGCCTTTAAAATTGCTCATGGTGGCCCACCGTATCGAGTTAGTGCTGCTATCCTCACAGACAAGTCTGATACTGTTTTGCCGACCCCGGAGGCATGGAGGGCTTGGTGGGCCGTAGGCGCTGGGATCGACTCTACTTGTGTGTTTCAGGGCGCCTCCGACCACTGCGCCACACGCGCCGCTTGTAGCCTGTAAAACAATGATATCCCACCCGGGGTGATCCATGAAAAGCTGTCTGCGCAACTAACATTTTGGAAGAAACCGTTCTACATAATTGTTGATCTAGTGCAGAAGACTAATCTAATAAAAAGTGTACCAGATTAATTCAACCACGTGCACATAATGCACGTTCATCAGTTTTCTTCCATACATTATACCTTTGGAAGTGTTAGTGGCTCTTAACTCCACTGTGTTTGTGTTCGGAAGCGTAAATAAATGAAAATGAAGAGGTGTTCCACTCGACTCGTCAGTTATTGGTAGTTACTACATTTACCTATAAGATAATTTCCTACCAACTTGGTTTTTACCAGATAGCATAGTACTACTTTTGTCCAAGGGCGCGTGTGACGCAGTGGTCGGATGCGCCGTGCAACACACACGCGGAATCGGTTCCCTCGCCCATGATCTGCCAAGCCTTCTATCTCTCTGGGGTCGGCAAATTGGTACCAGAGTTGTCTGTGAGGATAGCACCATTGGTTCAATATATTGGTAGGTCACCACGAGTCACTGTAAAGGCGAAAGATGCATTCTTTCACCTCCAGACGATGCTTAATGAAGTCGAGTGCATGACGCATCCCTTAGGAATTGATCAATACCGAGAGCTTTATCCTTTTTATTTTACTTCTTGTTCTAGGTTGCACTACGTATTGAAATCTTTTCCTGTTCTCGAATTTTTTTTCAGGTGTCCTCACTGCTGGATCGTCCCCTGAGAGGAGCATGTTCAGAGTGTTGCCACAGGTAAATTGCCGTATCTGTTTTGAACGCGTTTATGATGTAACGTTACTGCGAAGTTAACATATTGATTAAGTTAGACTTACCTTTTATTTTTTATCTTTCCGTTTCTTTTAATGTGCAAGATGTGACTATCGGCTACATTTCCGCGAGATTTTACTTTGACGCTACCAACGATTTACTGCTTTATCGTGGCTGGAAAGTGTTGCTGGTTGTTGGCCTGCGATGCACAGCGGGGGATTCATCCCTCTAGCAGGACCTCTTAAGCTGAGAAGCAATTCGATGTTTCCATGAGGAAGTGCAGCTAAGAGTAAACCAGTACCAAGATCTACCACAGTCCTGGTAACAAACTAGTCGCATGGTGTCAAACCTCCCTCTGTTCCACAAGTGCGGCGACTGCCTGTGGTGGTGACGACGTGCGGCAGACATTGGCTTAGCGGACCTCGGAAACCCAGGGAGTCGTAATGGCTAAACCAGCAAATTTCCGAGAAATTGGGAATTATTATAGGGCCCACACAATCAGTGAAGGCGGACTATTAAAGTGAGTAAATTTGCTTTGAACATTGAAGAATTTTTAGGTGTTGCTTGGTGGATTGTTACGAGGAATCGTCTTGGTATACCTAGGGTACTTCAACGGTATCGTTAAGAAGTGCTACCGTCGAAGGAAACATGAGTTGCAGAGGAAGGGAGGTAGTAGAAGTTTTATCACATTAGGATTCTCAGGACCTTCCAAGTACTGTTCTAGAGATTTAGATGGTTCGATAATTTCCTGTCAGTCTTAACGGACTTCAAATGATGCTAAATAAGCTTACTCCAAAGTGAACTTTAGCACTCGAATTTCTTATTCCTAGATCTTTTGTCTTTGTACACCTCCCTTCCCTATTATCTTACCATTCTTTCAATGCTTATTATAGGACCGAAGGATTCTACGTTCTCTATGGATGGTAAAAAATCTCAGTGATGACGTAGTTTTACTTACTTAGGTGATTTTCAGTCGCATCTAGTATGATTGCTTCGTGTTTTCATGAAATCACGACTATTCCTTACCAAATATAGCTGACATACCATCTCGAAACGTGTGGTCCCTTATCCTTTCGAACAAACTGTGTTATTACCGACTTTGTAAACATTCTCCACGAAGCAGCGAATGCTGTCTATCATTTCCCACATATGCACTTGCACTTGTACTCATGTTCTCGTGAGTTACTCAGATTGTCCTTTCTATGTTCCCGTTATTGTCTTATGTACCTTCTTTGGAAGGAGAGCTCCTTCTGTCTTCTTTTTGATGTCCTTTCGCACGCCTACTATAACACAAATGGAATAGCCTCTGTTATTAAAACTGTCCGATCTTGGTCCGATGTATTTTCGCGCACTAAATGAACAATTGTTAGAATGTATTATTGAGCGAGACAAATCCTTGTACCTTTTCTACCTCTTCTGGAACGATCATTCTAGGTCTCTAGTAAAATCTTTGGGATGACATATAAAATCACTTTCATAGTACGGTACTTATTCACTATTCCATAAGCCGCGCTTCTTCAGTTGTTGTAGTATAGTTTATCGGAAAAGTGGTTATATTGTTGGTACTCTCTCAAAATATTGTTGTTATTGTTGTATTGGTTTGTTAACTTGATAAAAATCTATTAATCAAAGGACGAAATATACACTATGAACGAAAGTATCACATGAAGACCAACGTGGCACTAGCCCATAGCAACATCAAGCAGTCACCAGCCTATCATCATGCCAGACTTTGTTCAAACCATCTATTAAATCAACAATCCCTGGAACTCGCCGTCGTGGGTCCACCTAACATCTACATCCTAAAATCTATCGCAGCAACTCGATAATATATTTCGTCCTCAGGAGCTGTATAACACATCGAACCTTTAAGGGTAACACGTGATTAGATGACGTCGCAGCACAGACACTTAAACCGCACAACAACACTGTCCCAGAGACATAGCATCAGCTTCCCACCGGATAGCCCAGCATATCGAGGCAAATCTTCCGTCGCAGTCCAAAAAAACAATCCACTATCCCTGCAGAAATCCAACAATGACTGTCCAATAATTGTTTCTGTCCTATTGCCCTTTCCGGGGAGTAACGCGTTCACCACCACACCATGCGGGTCATTCGTTTCGCCTGTCTCTCAGCTATTTCTATCGACCTTTGCCACAGCAATCACCCGTCAGCGGGATTGATCTGGGGCGCCCAAATCGGCATAGAACCCAGTTAAGCTGCGGCCCCCCGGAAAGGACAATAGCGCGTTCGTTCCCCGTTATAGACACCTGCGGTCCAGAGTTTTGCAAATATCTCAGCAACGTTGTGGTTGTATTTCGCTTAGTACCCTGCCGCGAAATTATAGTAGGCAGAAAATAAAAAGGTATAATATCGTGTTTTTGTCCTACTTTTACGTTCAGTATGGTTACTCCACCTGTACCACAGCTAGAGACAAATTTCTAAAAAACTCGAAAGACCTACTTCCTATAAACCTCGACCTAGATATATTCATTTATGTGATCTTATAAACTGATCTTCTTAAGCTGATGCGAAGTTGGTGTAGGTCTTCGTTGTCGTTGTTGTTGCTGGTGTTGTTGGTCGATGGCCAGCCCCATTCGTAACATCACGGCTCTGAGGAAGACGAGGTCGGCGAAACGTCAGCCATCGATCAATAACATCAAAAACAACGACAACGACAACGAAGACCTGTACCAACCTCGCGTCAGCTTAAGAAGATCAGTTTATAAGATCACTTAAATAAATTTCCAAAAATTTTACGAGCAGACTCTACACTTTGGATTAGAATGGTGGATCGATCTACACCGCTAGCGCTTTGCTGCATCATCGCCAAGCGAACAGATTGTTTGGTCAACTTCAATTAAGTGTATTGTGGAAAGAATTTTCACAAAAATACAACCATAAGAGTGCTGGGATATGACCAAAGCTCGGAACTTCAGGTGTGCTTCGAATCAGCAGTAACCCTTTCCGGAGAGAGCTGTTGTCCTATGCACCAACGACCTTCCTTTGCCTTTCTCTCAGGTCCTAAATAAAAGTTAAAACATCGTGATTTCGACTACACTTCAGCTTAGCTAGGTTTGATGCCATTTGTGCTCGCCAGATCAATCTTGTTGAAAGTTGAGTGCTTATGGCATCATTGGATAAAAACTGCCTGAAACACGTCAGCGCCGGAAGCGGTAATCGGAGGTTGGAAGAGCAGCTGAAGTTTCGAGTTTTGCTCACATCTCAGCATCCCTGTGGTTGTGTCACACATCATACCCAACTCTGAAAAAAGAATAGGCAGCAGATAAAAGTTAAAACATTGTGACTTCGCAAAATTATTTTTTGGTTCAGAAATCCGTCGCTGTCTACAATTAAGCCGCTGTACCTAATGCAAAAGCTGTGGTTCTAATCCGGTCATAGGTTTTCAACCTCTGACATTACAATGAATATTGCGACTGATTCCTCCCAACGGTTTACCGCCTCATCGTGGCTGGGAGGTGTTCCTGGGTGTCGGGCACAACGATGTACAGCGAGGGATTCGTCCCCTGGTAGGGTCTCCAAAGCTGACAGAGAGTCTGGCGTTTCTATCAGGAAGTAGTTAAGAGTACACCAATAGCAGGATGCACCACCGTCCTGGTATCAAAGTCGCATGGTAGTAAATCTCCCTCTGATCCACAAGGACTGCGACTGCCTGTGGTGATGAAGACTTTGGCCAGGCTGACCATGGGATTCCAGAGAACCACAACGGCTTAACCAGCAAATCTCCGAAAAATGGTGATAATGCTAGGGCCCGGACAACCAGTGAGGAAGGGACCATTCAACTATGAAGTAGGTATCAAGTGCTATAATGCTGAGATATTTGCAAAACTCCGCACCGCTGGTATCTGCGGTGGGGAACGAACGCGCTATTGTCCTTTCCGGGGAGTAACGCGGTCACCACCACACCATCCAGGTCCCTCGTTTTGCCTGTCTCTCAGCTAGTTCTATCGATCTTTTTGCCATCAGCAATCACCCGTCAACGGGATTGATCTGGGGAGC